TATCATTCCTGTTGAATAAAGCTGGTATTGAAGTCCCAGGCCTTACTAAAAGGACAGTGGCAATTCCTTGGCAAGAAGCTCGGTTGTTGAGGGAACTCAGATGCTTCGTTCCCTGTCTCGGGATGCTGTGGGATGTGCCTGTTCTCGTTTCTTCGGCTTGCTGCTGCAAAGAGCTGGTATTCCCTCGTTTTCCTTTAGTGTAAGCTCTTCCTTTGCATAAGTATGGACAATCTGTTGCTTGTAACTTCATAAAGTGTATTAAGATGAGATTTGCTTTTTTTTTTTTAATACGTTTTTTTCATTTTTAGCAGCTAGTTTCAGCAATCCGAATGCTGCTATGGAAATGGAAGCTTTTAATTTCAAGTTCATAACACTAAGAAAAGCTGCAAACAGAGGCATGACAACTAAAGCAATTTATTTGTAAAGGAGGGAAAATCATGTGTGGTAGGTCATTTTTTGCAGGCTAGCATTGCAGTCGTTCTTTAAGCAGTTGTTATGTTCTAGAAGTTTTTGTCTTGGATTTAAGTATTGTAAAAGGAAAAAGGTAATTGCCATTTGCAAGGAAACTTTGTTTTCTGTCTCTTAATTGCTGGCATCCTCAATCAGTTTGTTCTCATTGCATGAAAATAAACCAAAAGCATTTTTAGGTGGTGGATAGGGAAGAGGTCTGTAGTCCTTGTTTCTCCCAGAACTGCAGTCTTACCCTGCTGGAATGCACCGAACTTTTTTTTTTAAATTTGCTTTAATTTTGAATGCTTAAACAAATACTGCTATCTAAAAAAAGCCATTTATATAAGGTAACATTAAAATTTTAAGGTATCCTTTGAGAAGCTGATACGCATTTTGGTAATGAAAAGTACCTTGTGAAGTATAGTAAGTTTGCTTTTCATTGCACTGAGTTCAAGTGTTCAGAGGCCTGATAGCGTGTCTGCGGCCTTTGTTGAAAATGTTGACTGTTCATTCATGAATGATTAACAGGTTGTTTTATTTAAAGGCACGTATCTGCTTCCTACTGTGTCAGTATAAAAACTATGTTCTGAAAAAGCTGTGTGTACAGTCCCTATTTAAAGAATGTTTTGTGTTGATCCTGGAAACTTTGTCCTGCCTGCATGAAACTCTCTTCCTTATCAGTTTGCAAGGATTTAGTGCTAGCAGACTTTTCTGTGAGACTGAACTTAAATACAGCAGATTTCTAAAGTATTAAAATACAGAGCATTACTGAGCTCAGGGAGAGGTCCTTATATTCATAAAGTTGTCATAGTGCTTAATGGGCTGTACGATTTTCATTCAAGTTGTAGCATCATAGAATTATTTCTGCTTTCTAATTTTTACTACTTTTCTAGCAAGCGTCCTTCACTGTTCTTAGCAGGAGAAAGCAACATGAAAAAGTCTGAAATCCATATCAAATAGCAAATGAATGTTGAAATATTTTGAGTATAAGGCATTTTGTGTGTGCGTGCATGGGCATGTTGAAGGACGTGTTCTTGTGATTCTGATAGTGAGAAGACAAGGAGTCTCTTTTGGTAGATTTAATTCCATGTTTATGAGCATTCGGAGCTTGTTAGTGCGAAAATGAAGCTCAGGGAGTGAAGCTGTAGCTGGAAATCCTCATGTATGTACAGAGCTATTTAGAGTTCAGCATATATTTAAATTTCCCTTAACTGTGTATGTCTGGTTTTGGGAAAACAGCCATGGAAGTGGTCAAAAACTATTTTGATCTAGGTAATGCTTTATCTATTCAAATTTATACATTGGTAATGAGTAATGGGTTTGGTAAATGAAAGGAATACAGTTAAACTAATACGCTTTTTGGCTTGAAACTATTAAAGGTTTTTGCAGAACACGGTCTGAACTTAAAGCAGTCACTTTAAATGAAACGGCGTGCTGGTGTAGGGACTGGGAGCTCTACAGGGACATCCGGTGGGACCTGCCTCTCTGCGGGCTCTCCTTCCCACCTTGGGTGGGGGGAGGATGGACCTTCCTGCCAACACTGATATAGAAAGTACACTAAAGTTAGTTTCAGTAAAACTTTGAGCTTTCTAAAAGCTGTTTTTCTCATCAATAAATGAGAAATTCTTCACAAAATTAGCCTTGATATGGTTGGGTGCTGTTGAACTGAGCATTATTGTAGACACAACAACATACCTCGTTGCGTGGCTCGAGGTATGAGGAAGTATTATTGTACGCTACGTGGTTATTTAAAATAGTTCCTGATAAGAAAGTTGTATCCCTCAAAGATGGGCTTATGAACTAAGCTGTGTGTTGTAGTTAGATTGATGGCTTTGCATTTTTTTTTTATGCTTCGCTGAAAGCAGTGACTTGCAGGTGCCTTCCAAAAATCTTACAATTCTCTCAGAAGAGAGAGCAACAGGGAATGAAAGTAGTTGGAGGCTTGGTTGGCAGCACAGTTAGCTGCCTTGTTTGTTATTCAGGACAAAAGTTCTGGCTTTCCCTTGAAAACCAGAAATCAGTATATTGAGTTTGGAAGTACTAAGCATTCAGACGAAAACCCCTCATTACGCTTTCATATCATGTTACTGTTTTAAACTTAACTAGTATGCTGCCTGAGTTATGTGGCAGTATGTTGGCTGGAGCTTCCGGTATTGGCTTAGCACATGCAGGTCCTGCAGTTTCATTTGGAGTTGTTCCGGTTATAATGCTGAAACCGTTGAAAACCTCAGTGTGAAACCTCTGAGCCATATTCCTATGTGTTGCTTGAGAAAATGTTCTAAAAACTGTGTCATAGGCTTTCTATTTGGAAAACACTTTTATTAATACACAGAACTGTTCTTTAATAATGGCACTTCATTGTCTTAATTAAAACAAAAAAGCAACTGGCAAATGCAGTCCAGACAGCAAAGCCTTCTTATTGCCTTGTGTGGAAGAGCAATTTTAGGAGGGCACAAGTGTTGTGCAAGCCACCGGCCTCCTGCCGCAGCAGCAGGGCACTTGGTGGTGTTGCTTTTGCCGTTTCCTTGAAATAGAGGAAGAACCTTGAAGGTTTGTGCATTCCCCGGTGCAGGTGTACGTTGCTTTAAATGACAAGCCCGGTGGTTTAATGGCAGGACGATTTACGTGGGAAATGCAGCTCTGCAGGCCAATTGGGAAACGAATGCAGAAACTGTGCTCTTGAATGAGGAGACCTCAAGGTTACTCTCCCAGCATCCCAGAGAATCGGGGTTCATCCCTGAAGACAGTGGGGTGATGCTTCGTTCATAGGAGCATTCCTTATGCTGTTAGTGCTCTCAAGAGCAACTCTACCAAAGGCAGCCATTCGACCCTCCTCAGAAAGAAAAAGCGGGATGGGGGGGGAGACTTGGGTAGTAGAAAAATAGTATTTTACTGTTCATCAAGTTTTGTAACAGATTTTTTTTTTTTCCTTTGAATTAGGTAGAGAAGGATACTAATTGTTTTTGGCGCTCCGATTTTGCCAGTGCTGCAACTTCCCCCCACCCCCCCACCCGACCTTGTGGTTTGCCTTAAACATACTGTACTTGCTATATCTAGTAAGCTGTGTTTTCTCTTTTAAAGGCACACAAAACAAGTCTATGCCCGTTTTAATCTCATTAAGTTCCTCCCTGGCTGTTTCCCCTTTTGGGTGGATATTGCCCATATTTGGTTTTAGCTATGGTGCAATCAGTTTATATCTGATTGTGTGGTATAATATGCTGTCTTGCCTGAGCAAACCTCGATAATTTATGATTAGATGTGGCCTAGATTAGCAGCTTATGATTTTAATGTTTAAAAGTACATTATAAAAGATCTTTTATGTAATGCAATATGTTATTTTTTTCCTGTGAAAGATGCAACAAGAGTCACAAGGACTTGCCTGCAGCAAAGCTTCTGAATTAAAACCAAGCAGGGGGAAGGGATGGTATAAATTATATAGTTCCTTCCTTTAGAGTACCTAAATAATGTGCCCTAAAATACAGAGATAGCAGTGCATTACCAGGAAACTATTCAATTTGGTTTAATAACAAGCTGCTTTCACAATCTCATAATCACAGCTTTCGTGAAAACACATGCTCTTATATTCTGCATGGTGTGTTTTATATACTTGTATTATACTTTAAAAGTTGAGCATCTGAAAGAGTATTTCTTTCCTAAACACTTCAGTGGCTTATTCGAAAGTACTCATGGTTTCAGTGAGTGCCATGGACTTTTAACCATGCTTTTTGCTGGCCTTCATGTTAGCCAAACTATTTATTAATAAGAAATTGTCATTAGTGTTTTGTTTTCTTGTAGGTATTTGTTGTTCTGTTTGTGTGCATGTATATGAATAAAATTAGGTGGATAAGAATATCCACTTAATTTCTGTAAGAAGAGAGTGGTAATCAGAACACTTGGTGATATTGCCCAAAATATTTTTAAATAAGCATCTGTTTGAGCATCTGTTTGGAAAGGCATACTGGTAAACCATCCAGGTGCTTTCCAGAGTTCCTTAGTCACAACATTGTGCTCATCTTTCCAACTGAACTGTCTGTTTAGATCTTGCTGAGGAGATAAAAGTGCTGCTTTACATTCACCATCATCTGTGTTAGCAGTGAGGGGGAAAGGTTGGGGGACCATCTTTGCCTAACAAGTGGCATCTCAGAAATGCTACGTTCTGTCTTGAACAAGACCACATTACTTACAGTTCCTGAGCAATACTTCAACTGTAAAGCTGAAGTTTTTCAACAAGGAAAGCATATAATTATTTTGATGATGATTCCAGTGTGTGTCAAATCCACTGCAAGGCATAATTATCAGCTGTTATCTGGAGAAATGCTGAAAAATTGTTTCAGTATTAAATAAATACAGCTTGTGATTATTATCTGCCTTATAGTTAACAATCTAATGTTTTCACACCCCAGCATCTTGTGGCTGTCCTTTGTGCTTTTGTACTTAACAACAAAAAAGGGAGTTTGTTGGTTTGTTTTACTACTGTAATATATTCTGATTTGTAAGGGAGCATTCTAAAATTCATTTGCTCTTTAACAATACATTTCTTCTCTCAATAGCCAACTACTCCACCAAGCCAAGGGAGGCCTGATTCACCAGTTTATGCTAATTTACAAGAACTGAAAATATCTCAGTCTGCACTTCCACCACTACCTACAAGTGCTCCGGTCCAAATAAATGGGGAATGGGAAACCCATAAAGATACGACAGGACGCTGTTATTACTACAACAGAGGATCACAGGAACGAACCTGGAAACCTCCGCGGTGGGCCCGAGATGCAAGCATTAATAAAGGGGATTCCCAGAGCCATGCAGATCATGAGGTAGTTCCTTCTGAGATCACAAGCAATGAGATTGTAATGCGTATGAATGCTGTTTTGCTATGGAATTTGGTATCGCTGAGTTTTGAGGTGTCAGGGAGTGTCTTCATTTGCCCTTTGGTCATGCGTCTTGGTATGGAGTAGTAAACAATTTACCTCTTCAATCGCTTTTGTGTACAGCAATGCGTACATGAACTGTGTACAAGAGTAGTAAGTTGTAAAAATGCCTTACAGTCCCTCAGCAGGTATTGCAGCTTTTCTCTTAAAGGTAAAGGAAAACTAAGATATCTTGAAACTAAAAGGACTATAAATGACAATAGAATAAGACAGCTATTGTAAATTTTCTGACATGGAGTGTGTTCTCTTTCCTAGTGTGTTTGGCACATTTTTGGGGGAAAAGGCGGGGAAAGGAAAGGGAGTGTGACAGTGCTTCTAGAAGCAGGATTTGTGGGGATGCATTGAAAAAGGCAAGGGGAATTATTTATTTTTATCACTATCAGTTAAATACACAGTAAAACAAAGGCAGGGGATATACAGGTGCTTGCTATTGCTTGGTTAATGCTGTGGCAGTAAATTTAAATATGAGATGTTTTTCTTATAGAGGAAAATATTTTCACAGAGAGGAATTAAGATGGATTTAGAGATTAAGATGGATGTAGAGAACTCCAGAGTTCTGGAGTAAAAAACAGACTTCATGGAGTTCCACAGCACTTTCCACCTGCATCAGAAATACTGACATAATTGAAGCTTCTATCAAATAAAAATATATTTTTTTTTTACTTAGATTTATACATACTATTAATAATTCTATGTATTAAGCATTAAGCCTAATATTCTACATAAGCATAAATTCTATATCTTAAGCATCTGTGATGCTTTTAAAATGTTTATTCTTTTAGAAAGGGGCATATGTGACTGTTCAAACTTGGAATTTTATTTAATTCATGAATTCTTAAAGAGGTGGAATAATCATGGTGAATGTAAAAAGTAAGTTTAGCTGGATAACTTTTTGCAGCATTTTATTTAACCATTTGCTTAGGAGATTTGAATTTACACACTTGTCAATGATTTCTGCCTTGGATAGCTGTAGAATGAACTAGGAGGAAGGGCAGTTAAAGGAGCAATGTTTTCTTATGAAATTGTGTTAACTTTGAGAAAATCCTTCTCTTCATTCTGTGAATGGTATCCTAGAGAACAGAAGATGAGCACATTAGAATTACCATGCTAGAAGCTCTGCCTAGCCAAGTGTCTAGGTCTAAAGGTAGCAAATGCTGATGGGGGAGGAAATCCACCCCAGCTTTTGGCAATTAGCTTTTGACTAGATTCTATTCAGGCCATATATGGATATAGATATATCAATGGATTAGGTATATCAATGGATTTTTTTTCATTATGCAAACTTTTTGCTTTTGCAAAATCTTTTGGCAAAGCTTTGCCGCGGAGCATGCGTTAGAGAGTTGAAGCTTACCATGAAGTTATTTTGTTAAAAGATGATTTGGGCTAATATTTGAGGTGCAGAATATATTCTGTGCAGCCAGTCACTAGGGAGAGCCAGGCAGTGGTGTGTGTTTATCTGAACTGCAGTGGTTCAGATAAAGCAAAGCAATAGCGGGAGATGAATATTACTATTTAAATATGCTTAAAATAGTGCTCTTGTGTTCAAACAGTACTTAGGTTAATCAGTTTCCTGACTGAAAGAAAAAAATAAAACATTTATCAAGAAATCTTCTACATATTTCACTTCTATATACCCTTTTCAAACATGTATAGTTTAGGTGGATTTCCTCCTGAGCCTATTACAATGTTTAGTTTTAAAATTTAATTGTGGACTGCTCAAGAATTTTAGATTGCTGGAAGCCCTGTCAGAGAAGTCTACGTCTGGGACAGTAGTGACAGAAACAGGAGAGAAAGGTAAAAGGGACCGTTTCATTGCCTTTGGCAATGGTCTTCATAGCAGCCATGACATCCGCAAGCATTTGAACAGCCACTTTTCTTGCCACAGGCTAGTGGCAGCAACAGGTAAACTGGTGAAATGTTTGTGGCTGTCACCTTTGGTATCTCTGACGGTTAATTTCTCACTGGCTGTCCTTTTGCTGGATAAGACTCTGTTTTTAGTCTGGATAAGGTGATTGCTTTTTTGAGTAGTAACTCTCCTTGTAGTACGTGCAACTGGCTTTCTGTTATCATCATTCTTCTTTCTTTTCATGGAACGGCTTCCAATAATTCTTCCTCCCCCTCCCCATCTGCAAATGATCCCTCTGACTCTTACTCATACGTCTGTACCACGACTTCACCACATGGTTGCGTGTTCAGAAAGCTTGATTTTTAAAAATCTTCTTTTATTGCCCAGAACGTACTTCAGCTCAGTTCTTCTGTTTATTTGCGATGCTTGAGGTATCACAGATTGGCCTTCAGACAGTTATATCTATCAAGTTTTCAGTCTTTGTAAGACCAATGGATGATGCATGTTTTGGTTAATTTTTTAACTAGACATAAGTTTGTATTTCCAGTAGCACAAGTTCCTTAAGTAATTTGTGTTCTCTCTGACTGGGTTATCAAAGTTTGAGTCTAGGGAGAGATACGTTGCAAGGCCATGTCAATCCACTTTCCAGCAGTCATGTGTTGATTTTGAAGCTGCTTAGCCCCCCTTTCTTTTCTGTTCTGCATTTGGGAGTGTACTTCACACTCCACTGTTCATGTTCACCTTTTCGTTTATGATCTCTGAGTACTTAAACCAAAATACTTAAAGGGTGAGATCCTGATCTAAGCTACAGTAAAATATAGGACATCCCAAATTTTGTCTGATTATGAAGACTTAGAGCAAATATGTCTTAATAATTAGTAAAAACAGATTTAATTTTTTATCATGAAGTTAAGTTGGGTTTTAGATACTAGTCTGAGTTATGCTCATTCCTTTCAGATTTAGGAATAAAAGAGCATATGCAGGAAGGTTAAATGCTGGTTGTATCTCTACTACTCAGAGCAGTTTGTATTGTATTAGGTAGCAAAATGGCAAGGTGATGTAAAAATGAGAACTGAATGATCATATATTCTAATACATGTGTAATATATTGGAACATGAAATAGCTTATAGTTGGTCTTAGAACTTTGTGATTAGGAAATTGAATTTTACTGGATAATTAAGAAGCGGCAAAATTGTGCCTAATAAGTCAAAGAAATTGGTAACAAAAAGAAAGTAAGTTTCTTTCACAAAGAAAACGGTTGTAGGTTATGGCAGTTGTTTGGATGGGGTGGGGGGAAGCAGTGAAGTCCTATTGACAGAGCCTCTGGGAAAGTGTATAAGATTTTGGAATTACAGATAAAATTTATCAGGGGTAGTGACTTGTTAATGTATTTGAGGAAGGAGTGCTTAACAGTAACTGGGAGAAATTTGCCAGTTAGTAAAGTTATTTAATTAAGGTGGACTGAAAAATGAATGAGATGTCATCGTATCAGAGAAAGGCAAACCTCTAATATCTAGCTAGGAGACCATAATGTGAAGTAGAGGCCAACAAATTAACCAGCAAGCTGTAAAAAAGCAACAGGATTTCATTTAAATTGAAAACTACATTTAAAACATGTGGCCAAGATGCAATTTTGTTCCCTGTTTTTTGTTTGAAAATAAACAGAGGGTAATAAAGGGATGCTAGCTTCTTTGTTAGTATTCTTTCTTATTATTTTGATTTTTAGAAGTAGTAGTAACTTCTAAAACTAGACTGGTGAAGTGATAGAAGAGAGCCTATAACTGTTCTTTTTTTTATTAAATGCAGGGTGATGAACTGGTCTCTGCCCTCAAGAATTTTCCATGTAGATGGAAATAAGCCAAGAAAGACAGTAGAAGTGGTGATGTGGGGGACCTTTTCTGTAATTCCCGTTAGTGTCACAGCGAAGTTCTTACAAGGTGTAAGGTTGGGCAACTGTCTGCTTAAGATGGCGTTATTTAAATGAGATGTAGTATAGTTGAGGATGGGACTGAGAAAGAGCATGGATGATACCTAAAAAGCATTTAGGCAGTTAATGCTGAAAAAGTGTTGAAAGTTAAATGGAAAGTTGCTGAACATGGTTTGGCCAGTGTTCTCTAACCACTGTTGATGGAGCTTTAGCAGTTGTTCATACTAGCTGAGGGACAAGGAGTGCCTTGGCTTGTTAAACTTTGTAACAACTCAAGAATTTTGTTTAAGTTTAGGTCTGCAAAGGCTGAATTCCTGCATTGATTGGTATGTGAGATTAGTTCAGCCTTGAAGCATCATTATTATTATTATATGGGTGCCTTACAGATACACACATTAACAGTCACTCTAACTGAACAACAGTGGTCTTTCTAGGAGAATTTTCATTTTTAAGTCTTCTGTTTAGTTTTACATGTGTAAACTGCTTCCTCTGTAGCAGGTGTTGCTTGGAAGACGCAAATACAGATGCAAGTCATAATTCCTGTTAATATTAATAATAAAAATGTGCAAAGTCTACTACTTTGAACAAATGTCAATGCACTTAATATTTAACCATTAAAACATACTGTAAGCTTAAATATATGTATACAATATAGCTATCTTATAAAACAGTAGTTCAAATGGGGCCAATAAGCACTCTTTATCAACTCCTCAGTCTTAATTCTTCAAGTGTAAAAATGGGACTGAACACTACTTTTTTTTTCCCCCCCCATGTGGTTAGAAGTTGGCACTTTGGGATTTCATGTTACTCCACGTGCAGGAGAGGTGGCATTGTTTAATCCATAGTTTAGATGCTTGCATTCTGTAGGCGGTAGAGGACGCTTACTTTTTCATGTTACTTTATTAATGACCTGAAAATTTCCCATGGTTTTTGCTGTGCTTGGTAAGCTGGCTTGTGTCAGCGTAGGGAGTTTGTGTCACACAAGTGATGAGGTACTCAGAAAGGTAACACCAAAAACCTATATAATAATCATTTGGAAATGTCACTGAACACGTAGTCTCTAAAAATACTGACTTTTAAAAACTGCTGAGTTTCTGATACCTGGATATTTTTTGGTAAGATTTAAACTTTTCAGGAGAGTTTTTTTTCTAGTTTAAAATTGAAATTCTGCCTTCCTCCTGCTTTATAGTTTTCCTCAAAACCCTTATACTTGTGTTATTGAACCTTGGTCAATATTTAACTATCATCATTTCAGAATAGCAGGATATGTTCCCTCTTAAGTGTTATGCCTCCTACTAGCCGAGGATCCAAGATAGTGTGAAAGGAAATCTGCATTGAATTCCTCAGGAGGCTCTGGCATAGAGATATTGTTGTGGGAGATGAATGCAGGGAGATTTTTTTTTTTGGTGCACAGAATGGATGCTTTGAATAGTAACTACAATATGTGAGCAAGGAGATGAACAAAGTGTACAAGGGAACAGAAATTGTTTGATGTGTGTGTGCAAAATCTTTTTTCTATTTTACACCTCAAACTTGTTCCTTTACATTATAATTCACTTTTACCTTCAGAAAATAATCTTTCACCTCAGCTAGCTGCGCCTGGTAGAAGGCCTTGCTTTTGCATTGCTCGTTGTCACATGCATCAGAGTTGGAAGGAGGAGAGTGGAAATTCCTAATATTTTAGGTTGCATTGTACAAGACTGCTGGGACCTACCAAGGTGCAACTGGAGATTCAAGTTGTCCTTAACGATTATTATCTTTCCAGATGCTATTTGGGAAGGGAAGAAAAGGATTTAGTTATGAAAGCTGGGATGTTGCCAGAAAACCATGGTAGCAGGTCTCCCAAGTTTTTTGGGGTGATGCAGATTACTAAAGCTAACTCTTCATCATTCAGTAATGTAAATCTGTGGGAATAAAATTTAGATTGACAAAAAAAAATTGCAGTTTAAATTTGAGTAGCTGAAATCTGGTATAGTAGAATTAAAAAAAATTGTATCAATACAAACAAGTTCTGAAAATATTTTAAATTGCTTAGCAGTTATCAAATATTTCTGTACTGTAAAAATGCATCTCTTACTCTCTGATGTAAGATATAAAAATGTGAACTCCCTGCAATTTATTACTATTCTCTTTCTAGTCAAATAATCTTTGATCTTTCAGATTTTAAAGCGCTTTCATTCTCAAAACTGCCTTGTATGTTTCTGACTACTTGTAGCATCTTTCATCAGAAGAAAACGACCACAGTTCTTGTTACAGCCAGTCAGATAGTCAGTATGGTTCTCCTCCAAAGGGTTGGTCAGAAGAGTTGGATGAACATGGTCAAACCTTATATACCAATGACTATACTAATGAAAAGGTACTTTTTCTTTCTTCTCATCATGTGTTCTAAATCTTTTCCACTAATTCACTGTTAGACATGCACATTTCGTTTCTAGAAGTGAAAAGCATACCTCAGCAGTATCTCCTTTTGTTTTTTAAATATGCACGAAACTTCAGCAACTGAACAGGCTTTTTTTTTTCCTTATGTGTGTTCTTTACTATTCAGAAAAAGTTTTCTTATTTCTAGTTGGGTATCAGTTTATATTAAATGAACATATCATGTATAATTTTTTTAATTCCCGCCCTGCCCATTCTCTTGGTTACACTTCAGGAATGAACTTCATACCAATATAATGTTTTTCTTACTGTCTTTTAAGAGCTGTTCTTGTCTACATAGGCCTTCCAGTTAGGATGGTTTCGAACTGAAAATCATACTGCTTTATCAGTTTCATCCTTTACTAGAGATTTTCATTTATATACATGCTATCAGATGTAGACAAACTTCTTAATTAACCTACAGCCATATCAGCAGATTTATTTTCTATTCTAATTATCTCATTGCTACTGACAACTTACAGTGATTCTGGACACGTCATAAAACTTTCTCCCATGTAGGATAAATGACAATATTTGTTTATATTTGTAAAGCAGACCATTTTTCTAATTGTTCACTGAAGTTGCATTTTGGTTTTTTAACTTCAGTGTTCATTGAAACAGTAGTTTCTTTACTGTAATATAGCACCACTTCTTCTCCCGTTTGATGTATGCAAGTTTTTTTGAAAGAAGTTTTTAAATAATTGAGTTTTATGTCAGTTTTGGAATTTTACTGTGCTTAATCTATTTCTGCTAAACGTCTGTAGAGCGCATACCTACGTTTTGGCAAATATGCAATTTTTTTCTTTTTTTAAATTGCACTGGGATTGATAGAAAACAGTGTTTTCTATCACAAACAACTTACTGGAAGGCAATCTTGTGAAACCCGCTTGACCCAAGAGTCTCGCTGTGAGTGTTTCTGTGCATATTTTTGTGCGATCTTCTTGTAGAGTTTTGCTCATTACGGTTCTTTCCTTTCTGCATAACTAGTCACAGTAGTCATAGTTTTACCTCTTTGGTTGTGGGAGTTGCCTATGGAGGTTACAGAAATTATATTACCTTCTTCATGATTTATTTAGGAATTGCATCTCATGTTCCTGTTGATGTTTTAAAAATGGACTTGTTCAACAAGTGCAATTATCTCTTATATTATCAGCAGTTGCTGGTTGAGCTTCTTGTAATTCTGTAATTTTATGTATAAAATCCTTACACAGATCTGATGCAAAGGTTGTGTCTCCTTAAACTGACATTATAACGTTGATAAGAGTGAGATATGCCATCCTCAAAAATACTGGTTTATCCCAGTCTCTTATGTGATATTGCAGGACTATTTTCTGAGGACTTACAGAAGGAAAAAATATTAGTGAACCCAATTCAGGAAGCTGAAAACAGTGTTGCTCTCATTGCTAACTAACCTTGGCTAGTTAATGGAGGCTGTGCAGTAGACGCTGCTGAAGTGGATGGCACTTCATTAAAAATTAACTTTAAATCCCAAGTATCAGAGATTTACTGTGTTACAACTGTCACTCTGATTACATTTCCTATAATCACATTTCTTTCTACAGTGGATAAAACATGCAGATGAACAAGGTAGACCATACTACTACAGTGCTGATGGTTCCCGATCAGAATGGGAGTTACCTAAGGTGAGTGACGAAAAAAAGAAACTTTGACAACTTGGGGCTTTCCCCTCCTCCTCAATAAATGTTCTATGGGGGCTTTAATGGGAGTTAATTCACAACAAGAGGACTTATATATTGCACTTGATTATTTCTTGCATTTTTGTGGAATTTCTGATTGTGAAGAGAAAAAATTATACTTGAGGACATGAAAAATAGATGTGTGAAAGAAGATGTCAAAGAAGATCTTGTATCTTTGCTGAACTGAGCTTTTCAGGAAAGTGACAGACCAAGGGACACTTGGTAGTCTGAGGACTTACCTAATACTATTTAATTCTCATTTTCACTTTGAAAAACTACGGGACGTTTGTCATAATGCTGTAGTTGTATACGTTTTCCTGCTATTAGGATGTTTGTTCAATCCTATGTAGTAAGGTGACCATAAAAACCCCAAAGTTTCACACAGAATTGTATGCATAAGGATATGAAGGAGCATGTTTCTCAATTATTTCTTCATCAGTCCAAAAACCAGTGTGCTAAGTCACTTCCACTTAGAAAGGAGCAACCTTAATAGACAGTGCTTTCATAATATTTGTGGGAAAATATTTACATTGAAATTTATGAATGAAGCTATATACTAGACTGTTTTGTTACATCAGTAAAGGAATTTGTATCTGAGTCACTGAAGAGTTGAGTTAGCTTACTGAATTCTCCGATGTTCATCTGATGTGTTAGATAACTTAAATTCTGTAACATACATAAACCTAGCAATATAATCTGTAACTACTGGTTTTAAAAAGCTACTTAGCTATTGATTAGCTATTAGATTAATTAGAAGTCTGAAAATCTGCCAGACCAGGTTTTATCAGAAGCAATTGTTAGTTCAGTATCTATAATTGAAGTTAATTTTGGGGAATAATGTCTTGGGTACTTCATTCTGTGACTTCTGCAATGCTGAGAGTTTTGACTGTGAAGAAGTTGCTGTCCACTAAAATAGATTGGGTTTGGATTTGAACTAAATAGCGAATTAAGTTGGCTTTAATCCAACTACAATAATAGTAATATTACAAAGATAATCCAGAACTGTTACCTGAGGCACATTGGCATAAAGGGATGGGGTCTAGTATTTGTGCGTTAGTGCATGATGTTCTAGTGGTTCTAAACAAACATCTGAGCTCCGTTGTATCAGTAGCCACCTACAGAATGAAATATAGCCTCTGTTTTGGCATTTGTGATCTGATATGCTTTAGTTCTTGTTTATATGAAAATCATTACATATTACTGTTACAACGTTTCCTTGAAAATTATTTCTCATGAGTCATTTGGGCAGAATGTACTCTTTAATTCCTTCTTGAAACTAGTAAATCTTGGGTGGCAGCAGATACAAGGTTAACAGAAGTAAATGAGCAATTGACTCTTGGATTCACAGTCCAAGAGCCTATGTATTTCCAGAAAACCTTAGCTTTTAACTTTAAATGCTGTGGAGTACATTAAATATTTCAGCAAAATATTTAGCTGTTTTATGTAGCTATATATCTGAAGAACATAAAGCAGAGATGTTACACTTGTGAGTAATTGAAGCGTGATTGAAGATTAGTCTCTCGAAAATCTTACTGAAGCTGATTCCAAAAGTGCTTAGGAACAAATGAATTGGAAAGACAATATAGACCACAGAACTGCTTTGAAGAAAAATAATCTATATTGAAAACTCTCGTGAGTGGTGAGAGAGAACTGTAGAAAGACTTCAGCATTGTAACTCTTGCTTAAATGAAAATTAAGTTACTAGGAAAAAACCCCTACTCTTGGTCATTTTTTTTCCGGTGTATTTAGTTTAAATATTGCCTTCCAATTTTGTTGTGAAATAAAGTGATGGAATAACATGGTCATGTAATGCTGTTAAACCAGAAAAAGAAGAGAATCCTTTTGTTAGATGGTTTTCAATAATCTGGACTTCATCAGAACTAAAAATCATCTGGAGGTTTCTGGAAATGGCACATTAGCTGAGCTAATACTATATTAAAAATCTTCATTGTTATAGCATTAACTGTAAATGTGAACGTGCTTGGGAATAACACTTCCAGTATTCTTGTATGTGTGTTAAAAATTGTGAGGGTATATGTTGGGGGTTGGGGGGGCACAGTTGCAAAACAAATTACTTTAGACAGTCTCATAGAAAGCCCTCCAGTCATGTATATTTAAATAACATCTAGGAATAGCTGAATGCCTCTGGCTAAAAATGACGTCTCAGATGGAGTAGCTTTGACAACTGCTGAAAAGTCTATTAAGACTCATGATGAGTGTGACCCAGCTTTTTGCAGTGGAACAGAAGAACATACTGAATTATTCTTTAAAATGGATAATAATCTTCAACCATAATTTGTACTACATCTTGCAAAAGACTTTGCATTTTCTCCTATGCATTCTGCTGCATTCAGTTGTCGGTTCTTGCTAAAAAAAAAAAAAAAAGGAAAGAAGTAAACCAGCAAATAAAAGTTCTTTTCTGCGTAGTTCACTGTGATAAAATATGTTCATTTCCTGTGTAGTGAATGAGTAGTATCTAAATCATGTTGAGAACGGCTACAAACCTATTCTAGAAACCTAGTAGTTTTCTAATATGAATTTTATAATTCAAGCAAATAAGAAATCTCTATTAAGGGGGGAAAAAAGTTAAATTGATCTCAGGAATGAGAACTCTGTAATTTCTAAAGTTTAAAAAAGGTAATCTATCAAAAAGGCGAGGAAAACTATGTAATAAATATTGAATAAGTAGCTCAAAGGGGAGGAAGAGAGGTGAACGTAATAAAAATTAGAGATACCAGTGTATCTCTACATACAATGTATGTGTTCCTAGGCTGATATCTGGCATAACAGCATGAGGATTGGCCGTCCTCTGACCGAGCTCTCTGATCCAAGAGCAGACTTTGAAAGAAAATGCTTCTACTATAAGCATCTGGAGTGAACTCAGAGTTTTACTGCTAATATTTACAGACTGATACCGCAATTGCACTTCCTCTTCTCAGAAGTTCCTGCAGCATTAGCTCCCCTACTGTGTCCAGAGAGGAGTCCCTAGGTAGAGGAGCTTCACTTTCGGCTGTCTTATGAGACCAGCAGTCTGTTAATTCATTCTGTGCGCTGTCGACATCGAGTTGGAGCTCAGGGGCCTCAATTCTGATACTCAGGTGAAGGATTTTCCTGCTGGAGACCTGAATGCTGTCAGAGCATGCTATATGAAAAATTACAATAAAACATGAGGCTGGTAATATCAGGAAGATATGCAATCAAATGATGAAAGAAAATAAAGATGAGAATGTGTAAATAGGGTCTGGTTGTCTTATGGTCAATGTCAGCTGGTTTTGTTCTGAGCAACACTATTTGATTTGAGGTAACACATCGTGTGTTGGCACCTCTATCTGCTGTAAGTCAATGCACTAAACTGTATCATTAGCAATAGTGAATAATCTTCACATTCTTGTCATAAAATTTGGGATTGCTCAGAGAAAGTTGAGACCGTCTCAGCTGATGTGAGGATCTAGAGGGTTTTTAAGGACAAAAGTGCAGGTGATATGGCAAACCTGAGATACACCTGAGAAGGTAGTCACATTTTTTTTTTTTCTTCTCTTTAATGTGTATATTTGTGTCCAAGAGGCCTGGTCTGGTCTTCCGCATTTGTCGTGGTGGTTGGTGGTTCCCACACCTCTCCCCTCCTCCCAAATTAGAAGAGAGGGGGGAAAAGTGCCCCCAGCTTTTGCTTGGGCAAGCAGCAGGGCCTGTGGCAATCAGTGCTGACTTGGAGCTCTTCAAAGATCAAGCGGTCTTAGTGATCCTGAGGGTTAGAAGGTGAAGCAGTGGATGTCCAAGGCAGCAAAGTGAATGAAGCGGGTTATACAGAGGTGTCTTTCAGTCGCTTCTACACTTGAGATCCAGCTGTTTGTCCCAGTGGTCTCCTTGCTCTCTGTAGGTTCTGTTCCTTCAGTGCGGCTGATGCCTCCAACTGCTGCCACCCTGATGTCCTACGGCAGAGAATGAGGAGTCTTCTTTCTCTAAAGAAAGAAAGGGAAGGGGTAGGGGTGAAATCCTTAAAGACAAAAATTATTCTTCTTTTCTTTTATTTATGTAGGTTAAGAAAAGTTGTCATTGATTTAGTTGATCAGAAAAGCAAAACCTGTAACAGGTGTTAAGTCAATCACAGCACCAGAAGGTTTATTCAAAGCCAGTGGCAGCTGTCGCATGGGAAAGTGGTTTTGTTTTGAGGCAACATTTTTATTTTTTTTTTTTTTAATCTTCAATTTCAGACAGTATTGGAACAACTGCAAATAATATGGTAGAGCATATAAAGGTACTAGGATTTCAGAATATTTTTCAGGGCTGTTGTTTTAATCTCTGACTGCAAGAAGGTGGAGTAAAATGCTTAACTTCTGGTACCAAGTTTCACTCTTTTCTCCCTTCACCCACCCAGTTCCTTTCATCTGGCTGAGGATGTTGTTAACACAAATGAAGAAGAATCTTTTTTTCTGTTTCTTAAAGCTGACAGATCTGTGTCATCTTCATAAGAATGGGGACAACTGCTATGAATAACTCAGAGGCCTTATATTTATTTCAGTCACAATTAGGCTAGGACAGAGCCTTGAGCTATGCCATGTATCAGGTTAAAATTAAATATAAATCACTTGGCCAGTTGAGAGGGTTAGAAATTTTTATACCAAGGCAAAGAAGGCTCTTAAGTAGCTAGTGAAGGCATTGAGCGAATTCAGCAATGAAAATAACCCTGTGTGACCTAAATTTACACCACTGGTGTCCTTACCCTACACCAAGACCTGTTATAGCAAGAAGTCTGTGTTACTTGGTGCATGCAGTCAAGTATGAACAACTTGCTCATGTCCTCCCTTCCTGATAGGAGATGCTCCCAATGAAATGGGGAGCAAACTGAGGTGATGTGCCGGAGGGGTTAATGTAATGGGACATGAGTTTGTGGAGGATTTTCAAGGAGCAGTAGTGTGCACATTTGGAGTTCTGTGCTACATTATGAAAAGCTTTCGAATTAAGAAAACAATAGCATCTCCTTTGGGTGCAATGTTGAGGCACGTGGTGTCGCAGAGATCGTCCTGCCGGGCAATGTGTAGTCTGGAATGGGTCGGTTTTACTGGACTGTATGGCTCTTGCCTGATCTCTGTCCTCAGGATTACACCAAGGTTTAGGCATAGAAAGCCTGCTTAGAGTTACGTAAAAATATGATTTTGTGCGAGGGAAAGAGAGCCCAACCTAGTTGCTTATCGTTGCTAATAAACAGTGGGAAATACCATTGCAAATACCTGTAGGAGAGACAACAGCTCTGCAGGTAGGAGTGCTTTAGAGTGTCAATAAGTTAATCTGACCTGAAACTGTTCTGCAAGGCTTTTTGAACTAGGAGGATTGGCAGGGAGAGGTGGTCCTGGTGTAGCAGACCAAAGAGTAGCAGGGGTGTAGGCATCTGACCTGGTCACCGAAAGCTCTGGCTACTTCTCTCTAGCCAGTGGACTCTACCCAATCTAGAGGATGGCTAGTTCAGTTGGATAATGCAGAGTCTGAAACAGTATCTGTATCTCACTGTGATTCTCTTTGGGCGTCACAGATCAATCCATCTATATTAAAAGTAGAGGCTTGTCTTCAGCCCAGAAATACACAAGCTTTCTCTTTTTTCCCTGTAGTAATGTGTTCTACTATTTGTAATGAATAAAACAAACACACTCCCAGCCCCATAAATGCTTGAGCGAAAAATGTTTGCTTGACACCTCTGTTGTAAGAAAAATGGGGCAAAAATGTCAAATGTTTCCTTTAAAGACTTGTTTAAAGACTAACACTGTTTGTATCACCAATGCAAATTATTTAAGCTGCTAAGGTACGTGGCTCAGTGTTCTGAGTTGTTAGCAGTGCTTTGTTAACGAGCTCCACATACTGTTGCTTTGCTTTCTTTTTAAATGTTTCGTAAAACTAGAATTTCATATTACTTTACAGGTCCTTTTTCCTTCAAGATGGGGTTGTGTGTTAGCTAAGTTGACTCCTGGTGGCTTGTGATGGTATCAAAGGCACCTTTTAAATATAATCACCTGTGATTAGGCTTGTGCCTATATTCCAACTCTTAATGTAGATTTAAATTCAAGGAAGATTACTTGAAAATAAGTCTTTGACTGTTTAAACTTAAATTCTTTGAGTTACTCAAATGGAAAGTGCAGGGAGGATTTCCATAAATAATATTTACCAGTGTCACTGAAGTGTGTATATATCTATTTCTGAAATAAATGGTTCTGTTTTATAGTAAGAAATGTATTTGAATTGCTCACTTAAATGCTTTAGAACTGCCACAAGGAATGCGGTTTGTGGCAACCTTCTGCGATTTAGACGTAGTTTCATTGAAAATTGTTTAGATTTTAGTTGTAATACAGGCAATTTTGCTGCATATTGCTTAGCTTGCTGACACAGGTTCAGTTGTAGGAGCATCTGCTGAGTGGATACGTCTGTGACAAGAAAGTAAGCTAGCATTAGATTCCTTGCAGCATGAATGATGGTTCAGCTTTGATTTAAAAAGGGAACAAACTGAGAGTTGCTTAAACCTCACCATTGTAAGGAAGCGGTTGTCATGTGAGTGTAAATGTGCTGAACCCAATACAAAGTCAGTGCAATCTCAGAAGTGAATCTCTACAGTGACAACCAATTCATTTCTGTCTGTGCATGAACTACCAAATTTTATTCTCAGTACTGCAAGATCCATTTACTTGGGAATATTTTTACTGCTGTTGTGCGTATTGAAATAATTTAATGAATGAATAAATGAAACTGAAGTTATCATTTACCTTTTAAGTATCTATTGACTCATTGGAGCATGAACTCTATCCATAGTAAAATACAAAACTAATACAAGCATAGTGTCTGCCATGCTGATTCTTTACTTGGGCAATAGATGTAACTGGGTTATGCAATTTAGCTTAAATTTACCATTTATGTTATTTAGGTTAAACCTTGCCATGCTTCATTGGTATGTGTAGGTATAGGTTATTCTGTCTTTGAAGACCTGAGGCTCCCAGCTTACAGTAGGAATCAGTAGCAAAACTGTAGAATTCAGTGTGCTTGCAAAGATTATTGCAAAGATTATTTTAAAATAAAAAGGGCACTTTCCTTTGTTACTTCTTACCCAGTGGATTCTAGTCCTTTACATGACTCCGCAAATGCTGCCTTATGTTTTTTTCTATGTGCAGATTTTAGTCTTCTGACGCTGAATAGAAAGAATGAGATTTTGAATGACTTTAAAAAAAACCCCACCAAACCATATATTGATGGTGTCTTTTCTTGTTTGTATTTTCAATATTAAGCTTTGTTTGAAATATTTTTATAATTTTTTATAATGCTACCTCAGTGTTGGTGGTGATGATTTAAAATGGCAATGCTACTAATAAGTATACTGCAATGCTGAGATCTAATTAAATGCTGGGTCCTTCTCATGGCCTTCACATTTTCTCAGCCTGTGCATCGTTGCATGCTCTTGAGTTATTAGAAAATCTATGTTATGAAAAATCCATTCTCCCCTTGGCTATTACAGCTCTGCTGAGTCTTAAATTATTCCCTGCTAAAGATTTGTTTTCTGTGCTTATGTACATTCCACACCAGCAAATCCTTTTATAAGTAATTTGATGTGATTATTCTGAAAAAGCAAGTCCTCACGCCCGTGTCTCCTCTCTTAGGCTTCCCAAATCTTTGGATCAGAGAGAATTGTATCCAAGCAATCATAACTCTCAATCTAAATGCCTTACTGCAGGATAACAGGGTTTTCCTTTTCTTACACAAGAGCTGGACAGGTAGTATAGTACTGTCAGTGCAATATGAAGAGTGAATGTTTAAATCTTGTATTTATTCTAATTCCTTGGTGGTTCTCAATATGCTGGTTGGTGGCAAAACCAGCAGTAATCTGTTGCACAAGAAATCAAACATCTGCTTGCCAAGGGAAAGCATTGTCTTGACAGGCCAGTCTTAGTTACTGCCTCGGAGAGACTGCAGCAGAAAGGGCAGTTCTGAAGACCAAATGCAAAATAAGACCAGGGTTATTTTCACACCCTTGGGTGACATCAGGAATCTGAAAGTTTGCGCTGTTAAGGTGTATGAATGGTATGTCCAGGTCTTGTTTGCATGAATTAGATTCTACTTACAGTTTGATTTTTCTCTTCTTTAGTATAATGCTTCACCACAGCAGCAGAGAGATATAATAAAGAGTAGGAGTCTGGACAGGAGGCTGCAAGAACCAATAGTTTTAACAAAATGGAGGCACAGCACAATTGTGTTGGACACCAACGATAAGGTAGGAGTGAGTTAAGCAGCATGCTGGAATACCAACTGTTTCTGTTGTGTGAAGTATTTAATCTAACAGAAATGATTATGCATGAGTTTCTGAAATCTCATTTGTCTTATACTCTGTTGTATTGTGTATAACATTCAGTGAAACCAAGGGCTGTTTGATAACTCTCCTACTGTTACTTTGTGAGTAGTAGCTCTTTCATTGTTATCCTTGAGTATTTTAACTAGTGTTAGTTCAGGGTTTGGTGTGTACAGCCATTTTACTTATAATTGGGAATCTCCCAATTCAGTTTAGGCTATGGAGTGTAATTAGGGTTTGAATTCAAGAATCATGGATGTGGGTGAGGTTCTCATGTAAGGTGTAGTGATATTTCACACCTGAATGTTTTAATTGTAGGAAACACCAAGTAGGAATACACTTGAAAGATTGCAGATGAATAATTGAAATATTAATAGAATTGAAATAAAAGTTGCACTTGCTAAAGTAAAAATTATGCTTTAAAGACAGAAGTAATGCTTTAAAGATAGAAGTAGTAGTATTATATAGTGGATTTATCCCTTTTGTGACTGTTCTGTTGATCTCCACTGTAATATCTCAAGTAAAGAGGAAAAGTTGTGCGTGGTTACAGCAGGGTTGTAATATTGTTATAGGAGGACAGAGGACAGTACTGAAAGTGCTGAAACGCTTGGCTTTGATACCCTCCAGGGCTGAGCTGGGAGTTTAGTCTGAAAAGAGCTGTGGGCCAGTAACAACAAAAGCTGTTTTCTGCCCGTTCTTAGGGCATGTTCTTGATGGTCTGTTTTGGGCTGTGTGGTAACAGATGCTGTTTAGGCCAACAAGGAAACAGAGCCTCTCCCTTGCTCTCCCTTTGCCAGTCTCTTCGGTTTGATTCTTTGTCCCAGCCGTTTCTGCTTGTGCTGGGACGTTCTGCCGGTGGGTGAGGAGAATTGGTGTGAGCCGAGCGGGGAGGAACTGAAACGGGTGTTGTAGGGTGGTGACTTGTTGGTTTCTGTAACTTCGCAGGCATCCATCCCAAGATTCATGGAAACTGAAATACTTTGTAACACGGAAATCTTAGCACAGACTACGCAATGAGACACCAGGAAACGGTGTTGTAAGCTCCCTTTTTCTAAAGATATAGGGAGAAATGAAATGAATGTAGATTTGGGAGTATGGAGAAAAGCCTACAAGTGGGCCTGTGTAATCGCAGATGTCAAAGACAAACTTAAATGGACAAAACATAGTAGTTGTAATGAAAATGGATCTGCTGCCCAGAATGTTACTTGCTTGACCTGTTGTTTCCGGTACGTTTTAATGGCTTTCCTTGTTGAAATGGAGTGTAGGAGAGGGTTGTCGTGAGTTGACTTAGTTCCTCAGAATAGGATTTATTGGATTTGATCTTAAGCTTTTGAGCTGTCAGTTTAGAACATATCATACGTGGTGCTGAGGAGGCAGTGGACCGTGCTTGGCTGGAGGCTTTGCACCTGTACGCATTAGTTTAGCTTGAGCGATTCTGAGGTCCCTCTACTGCTCCTTTCCCCTCCCGACTCCTCCTTACGCATCTTCTGTACCGAGTATGTTGTGGCACTGCATCAGAGACAGCCTAGACGGAGTCCTGGTAAATCAAAGCTGAGCGTACACTTCTAGCCTCGTGCAGTTTATGCTTCACAGGTATGAACAATTCTGTTGGAGATAGCTTGAAGTTTTGGCCTTGATTTTAAAGGAAGACTTACCTTTTTATTTTTTGGCATAAGATTTACTTCTGTTTTGGAATGACCTTTATGTAGTGCTGCACTGAATGAAGAAGCTCTTGTAAAACATTGGAAAAGGGGAGCTGTTTACTTTTCTTCAGGACGCAGTGTTCAAATACCAAGACCTTAAGCCTAGTGAAGCAAATATGCAAATGTACATCTATCTAGTGTAATAGCCAAAATAAACTGTATATATGAGCCACGTTTGTAAAGTCTAAGTCAGTAGCTTGAAGTTCTTTTAACAGCTTCAAAACATGCATGCATTTGTTAATGTTGAGGAGACTGTATAGTTCATATAAAGCACAATGTTAATGCTTTGAGAAAATTAAAAAATGTGTAGTGGAGCAATAAACTAGTGTTTTGTGGAAAGACAGATTTTGTTTAGTGCATTGATACACACTCATTTTATTACCAGTGGCAGGCACGCTGTTACATACGCTGCTTTAAATTAGTATGTGAAAAGGGAATAGTTCATGACCACAAATACTAGATATCTTGTTCCAGAGCTGCTTAGTATATGAAAGCTATCTCAAGTGAGGAATGAAATAGAAAGAAAAACAGCTGATATTTAGCTGGATAGGCACATCAACCCCAAGTTAGCTTTATAGCTGAGTCCTAGGGAAGCTATTTTCTTTGTGTTTTCCTTATCTGTTTTTCCTGGAAGAACAACACAACTCAATTCTATGAAAACAGGCCAGTCAAAAGAGTGCTTGAAATGTGTCAGAGTGAAAGTATGAGTTGCCATGGCTGATGAGAATTTGATGATGTCAAATGTACTTGTTAACTGTTTGTTTATTGGCTGTGGCACATATCTGTGTATAGCCATCAGCTAAAAAATTTGGTAAGCAGAGGAAAAAAATACCTTCCTGGGAGGGACAACGTTGATTTCCTTAATTTCAACATTTTCCTGCCACACCCCCCGCCCCAGGACATCAGAAAACATGGAATATTTAGGCTGTTCTTAGGAATGCTAATGTTCTCTCTTAACTATGCTACTAAAAGAACTAGTGGACCACTTTTGTAGGTAGATTTACAAGTGGATTTTAAAGCACGCGTGTGCAGAGTGTTATGTAATGCTGGAAAAGCAAACTGAATTTGGGAGAGCTGTAAAGGGAATTAAAAAGAGAAAAAATGTGTTAACAGTAACAGAGAACAAGTGACATTTTTCTCTTGTTTGAAATTCTTTACCAGATTTTCAAGCAGTGTATTTGTGCAAAGCAATAATTACTTCAGAGGAAACGCCCATGCCTTTTTTGTTCCAGATGGACAATTTTTCTAATTTTCAGAGATTTAGTACTTTCTTCTTTTGATCCATAGTTAATGTCTAGTTTAAAACAAAATCCCGAATCTTTAGAAATTTTCAGTGCTTGATTATGAGGAAATTAATGATCATGACTCACAAAAATGAATCGATCCAGTATATACTTTTCTACATGTATAACAACTTACTGTATTAATCTTATATTTACTTAACCATAATCTGTTCTTTAAAATCTTGGTATTTATTACATGGTGCCCTGTAATAAGTTAGTATTATAAATGTGCTTCATAATTCGATAGCAATGTCATACAAAAAATTTGCCGCTTAATAAGAATGAAAGCTTTGCTTTAAGCTGATACAGTATGTATTAATATTTTTTTTCAAATGTATGTGTGCTAATTAACCCAGTTTGAGTGTTGTCTGTAGATCTTGTAAGAACACTGTTTAGTAAGCAGGTTTATAATATAACTATCTGAGAATATCATGAATGCTTAAAAAGTAGTACATTTTTTTTTTTTATGTGTGAGTGTGTATAAATAGAGAGAAAGTGTCTTTAGGGTTAAAAAAAATCAAAATAATTGTAAGCAAGTTAATAACTTATGTTGCCTATTTTAATTTTATAGGAATCACCAACTGCTGCTAAGGCCAGTTTTCCTGAAAACGAGTCCTCTCCTTCTTCACCAAAGCATCAAGCCACAGTCAGTACGCAAAGTGTTTAAATAGATAAGTAGATGTTGTAGAAACTGGGCTATTCATGATTAGAGAATTGAGGGTAAGCCTGCTTGTTATTGAGAAAAATAATGGGATAAAACTATTTGAAAGCTTTACGTTTTAAAAGGAATGCATTGCATCCAACTGTGCTTTCAGAAAAAATGTATGTGTCTTTGGTTTAAATACAGTTTGGCGATAGGAGATTAAGTTAAAAATTCACTGTGGAATAAAGTTATGTCAAATTGTGTAGAACTCAGTTTGCTTCCTCCAACAGTCATGTCTTCTCACCTAGCAACTTGGAAGGTAAAAGCAGAAACAAACTCGCCCTCTCCACAGAACCTCTCGTTGGTAGTCAGTAATAGTTTGTAGTATTTGATATCTTTATTTTTTTACTTGTGCTGCAGTCTCCTTGAAAAGACTTAGAGGACCTGGCATATATAAACTATGTCTTTTTGATTTAGTAGAATAACTATTGGGAGGAAAACTTAAGCTTGTTAAACTTGTTATGAATGTTTAACAGGTTTTTTTTGCTTCAATTTATATTTTAAATGTGATTGTTTTTTAAACAGTGGGAAATAATTCAGAAAATGAAGTTTTTCTCTCTCTTTTTTTTTTTTTTTTTTTAATTCTGGAACTGTACTACAATAGCATTGAAATTGTGCCTTGATCAATTTTAACAGCCCTTTAGTAGATAGCTCAGGACATTAAAGGCACAACTTGTGTTTCATTCTTACTCTGCACACACAGGAATAGTTCTCTGGCTTATTCATGCTGATGCATTCTTACAACTCTTCAAACAGTTTTCCACAATGAAATAAACATTGTTTATTAAGCAAGCATAGTTAATAGCCTTACACACAAGCAATTATTGCTGCATGTATTCTAATTTCTTTAAATATGGCTCAGACCTTGAATTATTAAAATCGTATTTTTGTAGAAGAATTTACTGCTGCTTTAGATAACAGAAAAAATTATCTGTATTTTCTTTAGCTGTCCCCTGGGATTTACATATTACAAAGAAAGCTGGTGAATTTTTGTGTATTTTGATCCTTAACTTGCTTTCCACTTCCTTTTCCCTTATTCCATTAATTTTCACATTAATACCCCCTAGTGTTGGAGCTAAGTAGGGCATTATGATACTTTTTCTGAATAATTCTTCTTTGGAGCATTCCCGCCGGTGCCACCATAAGTAATTTATTAAACTCATAATTTATTCAACTCATAATTTATTCAAGCAAATGGGCATGCATTGCTCAGTCACTGTAAAAGGTGGTGACAGGCAGCTCCACTTACTAAAGCCAAAGGTTTGTTAGAAGGGTGCAATTCATAGGACTGTTAGTGGTGGTCTGCATGGATCACAAATAAAGTGATCTAAAGAATGGGCTAATTTTTTTTGGGGGGGTGGGGGAGGGAAGTGACTAATTTCTTCTATTGAAAATATCAGTTTTGGAAAATAACGTATATATCACTGGCTTGGGAAAGCATGCCAGCTAAACACTATTATCATTGAAAATATATCTTTTTTTGTATTTTATGTGCTGTGCTTGACCCATGTAGGTAAAATTTTTAAGGTTTATGAAAAACAATCTGTATCTTTGGTAAGAGTGTTAGCACAGTATTCCAGCAAAAAATTCCTCTTCGATACTGTATTCCACTGTTATGGTCCACTTAAATTTGAGATTTAGAGGAGAATGCTGGAGAGAATATATCTTCTGCTTTCATTGGATCTAGAATTGAGGACATTTTTGTTGTGGTGAAACCAATTTGGATCCTTTCCCTAGTTGATCATTTCAACTAATAGCTTAGTTCTTAAATTAGGAACTGTTACAAGCTGTTACTGACAAGGAATTGATTAAAAAAATAATTTAACATTCCTTTAGCACCATTCACTGGTAGGACAAGGCTGAGGTGACAGGAGAAAATGATGGAATTTGTTACCTCATCTTGAGAATCACAAATGGTATAAATCAATGGTTTTCCTTTTTATCCTAGAATATTTTTTCAAACATTGCTTTATATTTTATTATTTTTGCATAGAAACTAGAAATATTCATTCCAAATATTTGAAACTTGCAAATACCCTTCTTGTTCGGCGGTGTTCTTTTTCCACCATTCACTGACTGATCTCCAAATTTGTACAGAAGCATACCAATATAAATGATTTCCATCAGCAAGACATAACTAAGTAGTTTAAAATTTTAATATTTTGCTTGGGGATAGGAAGAAATAGGACATCAAAGAAATGTTTCACTCATCTGTTTTTGAAATGAATATGTTAATATTTTTATGCATTTCAACCATGTTTTATTTAAAATATGCAATTATGTTAAAATAACTTGGAATAATTTTGTCAGAGAATTTAGGCTGTTTGTTTGTCAGCCATCTCCTATTTAAGTAAAGGACGCAAACACAAATGTGCTATCACACAAATCATTATAAATTTACGTTTAAAATTTCCACTGTGTAGTACCACAAATGATTTAGTTTGGCTTGTCCAAAGAACCTAGGCCATGAAGAAGGAAAGCTTTTTATCCTCTGAATGGTAATGAGTACTTTCCCAGAAGAATTTTGATTTTGCTGATCTCTGCATAATTAAATAACACTTATGACAGTTTCTTGAAGTTATAACATGGGCAAAGATGGCTCGTTGCCAGAAATTGATTATTTGGGGGATTGAATTCAGTGCTGTGATGGCAATAGAAGTAGATTTTCTTTTATATTTGTTATGTCTTACTCTTATCTTACAGGGTCAAGAGAAGTATGGGTTATTGAATGTGACAAAAATTACAGAAAATGGAAAGAAAGTTCGGTAAGTCTTGGACTTCTAGAAGTACATATGCATGAGGGTTTGTGTAAGGTATCTGACTTTTATATTAGTACAGCATACCCGGTTTTGCAATTTCTTACTTTTTGCCTGGATTTGCCTTAGGGGTTTTCCTGTAGGACACAATGTTTCCTTGTCCCAAAGTGTGTGTTTCTCCCAGTGAGCTAAAGATAATGGACTTCAGAGAGCCAGGGGCTCATGTATGCCAGGGCTCCACATAGGGCAGTGATTTCATGAAGGCGTACTGATGAGAGACAGCTTTTTAAAATGGGATTGATTTATTTATTTAAGAGAAAATCTGTATAGGTTATAGGCTGTCTTGTTCCTTTGATAGAATTGGTGTAGGAGTGGCTTTCAGACTTTCACTTCATCTCCTTTAATTTCCAAGGAATGTACGTGTCATGTGCTCCCTAATTCTTCTTTCACCCTTCTTGTGAAGGGTTTGAAGCAGAATGTATCGCCCAATGTTAGTCTCCCTATAGGTGATGAATGACCTCATTTCTAACTTCCTTTCTCTGCCTCACAGGCAGGCATTTACATTATAAATCATGATGTATAATCAAGTAACGCTGTCTAACTTACATTTCTGGTGTTCTGCAGAGTCAGTGTTAAATACTGCGTGAGTGTGGCACATCCTCAGATTTAATTTAGGTTACTTTTTTACTTTTTTTACTCTTTTTTTTTTTTAATTTAATCTTATAGGTTTAATACTGTGTTATATCTAGTTCAGTGTTTCCCAGACTTTTGATACATGAAGCATGCTTTTCCTAAGGCTTAAATAGTCAGCACCCAGCTGATATTGTAGAGCCATCCTGACCTAGTTCAGTGCAGCTGGGCAGCACATCTCACCCGCAATTTGGTTCCTCAGAGCTGCTCCTAAGAACCTGGTAGGAAAGGGTGGACAGTGGCTCATGTAAGCTGCTACTGGTACAGTATACTCTCACCGTTTATGTTGCATCTGTTGGAATCATTGATCTGGATTACTGAGCTGCTGTACAGAAAGATGCCACACAGCCATCCTGTCACTTTGAGAGCTGTTGAATAATAATTCATGTTTGGGCAATGGGACTAGATTGTCAGGGCTTGTCAAGACTTTTATTTTTTTAACCTCAGGAGGACAGATACTCAGGCATAAAAGCAAATAGACAGCTGGAACAACTCATTTGTTCTTTTTCTGCATTTTTTAGATGTGTAGCAAATATTTTACTGTCAATGTAAATGAGCTTATTACATAAACATGGGACACTTGCATCCCAGTTAGATGTGATCAATCAATTTCAGAATTATGCAGTACTTTGGCATAATCTACTAAGTACACAGTAGGCTGAGAGTTCCAGATTAGCCCCTTTGAAATTATAATTGTATGGTGTTTCTCCTGGTGAACTGCTTCCACTACTAATTAGCTTTGTTTGATTTAGACTTTGATGGTCAGGCTGGGACTCTTAACATATGTTCCCTTCTGTAAATATGATAGCAATTAAGACTTACTGATGGCACTAATGACCGCATATATGGTTAAGTATATTAACATGCAGGTCAGCTGGGCAACAATGATTGACAGTTTAAATACCTACTTTCAAAGACAATTTATCTTATGTTTGTTTACAAATATTTACAGAAAGAATTGGATGTCATCATGGGCAGTGTTACAAGGTTCATCACTGCTGTTCACTAAAACGCAAGGAAGTGGAACTGGCTGGGTAAGCTCAGGAACAACCCTAAACCTCATTTAAGTGTAATCACGTAAAGCACAATAAATTAAAGCCCTCTGATTTGTAGGGCTTAAATACTGATGCAATACCAATAGAAAATATAAGTGTGTGTAAGGTAGCAGGAAAATAGTTTAGTGTAACAATTATGATGTAGAATGAGAAGAAAACCAGTCGTACTTTCTTATATTTTGGAAACATTTTTATATTTGATAAGTAAGAAACTGATAAGGAGGTATTCAGGTGCCCTGTAAGCTTGAAGTTTTTGCTCCAGGCCAAATATTTTTGTGTTCCATACTAATGTGTTTGTCTAAACAGTTTGCTTGATTTACCATTCTTGGATATTTTTTCATAAACTCCAGGTAATTTTAAATGTGATACAGGTAATAAAGAAAATAGTCTGACACTTGGGTTGTTGCCTTGGACTATTTGAATAATGTAGTATTGTTGCCTTATTTACTCTTTGCCTTGCTGGATTCCATATTTTGTTTTACATCTGCGTAGTGCATGACAAGTACTTGTATCTATTTTGATGTCTGATGAAGACCTAAAGAGAAACATCACACTGAAGATGATGATTATTCAATTTTTATATCATCTCTAGTTTAATAGCACTATAATTAAATTGGCTATATTTATCCAGCTGCATTCCTATATTAATAGGTATAGAAATGGTTCTTTATCTATGGCTTACTTACCTACTTTTGGAGGTCTGACATTAAACTGTGTGGATCTCCTATAATAACTAGAGAGGTCAGATTGAGTATTTATTATTCCAGTGTATTATCATGCAAATTCCAGCAAAATTGCATCTTACAGATAGATATATGCTATCTTTCTGTGCTTTGCTGATCTTTCTACTTGACTCATTTTCTCTTGCTGCGCTTCTTTTTAGGTAGTGAATTGGTATTGACAATTCTTTTCTAAAGCATTGAGTTCATTTCAGAGCTGTAATCATGATTTTTTTGCCCTTCTGTTGCTGTAGAAGGGGTGGTTGGAAAAAAATGGGTGAGGATGGATAAATAACAACATTGGGGGTAGAAGAGAATGGGAAGAGTCAAGTTGGGCAAGATCATCAAGCAGAAGGAAAAGAGAAGGGAAAGAAAAAGAATAATGATTAAGGGCATGAGATAAGGTAAATGCTGTCCAGTAGGAAGCGGACTTGGTGACCTAAGGAGGTCTGTCCACACTGTATGTGGGGAGGGGAAGAGAACATGATGTGCATCAGAGACAAAGCACAGAAAAAGGAATAGAAACGTGTATATCTGAAAGTTACTGACCTTCCCACCTGTAGACATTGGGACACTAGGTAAATATAATTACCGTTATTAATCAGTGAGAAAAATATTGCCAATAAGAAAATGAACAGAACTTGCGAATTTTTTTAATTTTTATAACAAAGCATGTTGAAGAAACATTGAAGAACCTTAAAAGGTGAGCTTTGAAGCAGGAAGTACTGGGGTTTGGAAGGTTTTAAAACTCATTCCCTTACCTTCCTTCATGCCCTTCAGTCATTGTCTATTGTTTAGTCAAGTTCAATTTCATCACCCTACTTCATAAAATGGAAAATTCCTAGCCATTCTGAGGTGAGCTTTGATATTTAGTCTCAGTGCACAAAGAATACTATTATTTTTGCAGCACACTAATATTAATGATGGAAACTTACAACTTTTGCAATTTACTTTTATAGCTAAGGATCCAAAAAGTACCTTAATTTTATAGGTATAAATACGCATGTTTGGAAAGTAAAACATACAGCCTGAGTAACTAATGAAGTTCCAAAAACTCGATTACAGCTACTAATACTCTTAATCCAAATGTAGCTGTAGATCAAAAACCATTATTTTAACTGTATGTTGATATCATTAAAACACACAGTGCTAAACTAAGATACTGTTTATGAATGTGTGATACTGTTATGAATGAATGTGTGCCCAAATGAATTATCCATAAAAGATAGCCATGCAACTCTGCTTATTGCTTAGGGATGCTAGTATAAGTTGTGTTACATCTTCCAAATACAGTTATTTGGTGGGGAAAAAAAAAGGCATAAATTCTTTTGATAATTTAAGTGGAGCAAAAGTAACATAGTCACAGTATTTCTGTGCAAGACTGTCAGGTATGTGTACTGTCAAGTATTGGAGTAGGGTCAGCAAAATGAATGTCAACAGTATGAACAGAATAAAGTGAAGCTGGAAATTTTAAGGGAGAACACCTTTCAAGGACTTTATGTTGTATACCTGCATACTTGCAGTTGGCTTTGCAAATGTGTAATTAAATATTCAGCACATGCTCTTTTTGCTCTCTGTGTAGGAAACTTTTTTTGGGGGTGTTAAAAATTCCACCTCACCTCTCAAACTTTGATCTGTATCAAAGTATTTTAATAAGGTGAAGTCAAGTGTAACAGTTTGACACATGATAAGAATTACATTTCTTCTTCATCTTATGAGAAGAATATTTGTTTAGCATTTGTCTAGTGATTGATATAACCATATCTTTTTTTTTTTTGTGCATTGTTTTGTGACTTCATCACTTTTCTTCCTTTTTCCTCATCAAGTCATTTTGCCAAGGGGGCTCAATTCCTGAGCTCTTGCTCTCGCTGCTTTCTTCTTGGAAAAATGCTCTCAGTCGTCGACCTGCTGTCACCTATGTAAACTCTGACCAAGTTTCAGCTATCACTGTATGTGTTCTTGTTGCATGCGTCTTGTCACTGTAAGGCTATTTGCCACTAATCTTGAAGTAAATTTGAATTTTTCTGAGGTTTATGTTTTGTCACTTCATATAACAGCTTGTATCCTCTTTGCTGTTTTCTGAAAGTCATCCAAGGTGCAAACTAACACAAGTGTATTGCAATAATCCTGTAATTGTTCTAATGGAACAAAGTAGAAAGAGTATCTGGTTCATCAGTGCCAGAATTATAATCCCAAATTTGTCCACTATTTGAACCACTATAAGTTTTGACTAATAAACAGCATGATATGGTAGGTTTTTTAACAGCTACTTTATGTCTAATTCTTTCTAACACAGCTAATTTAGGATGTTTGTAAGGTGCCTATGATGCCTTTGATACAATGATGTACATGTTGTTGGTTAATTCTAGCTATAATTGGAATATCCAAAAATGTAAATGTGATGCATAAAAAGCTGAAAGGAAAAGAGCTCAAGGATGTTCTGGCTATATGCCACATACAGAAAGCTGATGTAAATTTGTAAGCATCTGTAGTTAGTCATGTTTTGAAGGGTAGATGCCAAGCACCCGAGAAGTGCTGCTTATCAGAAGCTGGTAAAATGTTGCTATCTAATATGGTAGCTTGTTGCTCAAGGTGGATGAGGAGGAATTTAGATAATGATACTAGTGGTAGAAGAAACAAACAGGCTTGACTGGTTGTATAATTGTTCTTTAATATTGCTTTTTCAGCACTCTTATCAGAGTCAAACTAAAGCATTCATGGAAAAAATCATATGCTGAAGATGTTAAAAACAATGTTTCAATAATTTGACTTCTTGAGGATTTTAAAGTGTTGGTGATGTTTAAAACTATTTTGGTATCTTGGCTTTTATTTCCTGAAGAGGGGAGAGAGAGCTATATGCTTTGAGTTTAGTTCAGATTCCTGAGACTTCTAGAATAACTGTTTTGATGACCAGTACCTTATTTTTTTTTTGTCCTGTAGGGGTGAGTAACTGTAGGTTTATTCAATTAACCTTGTGCTAAAAACGATGCAAGTGCCTTTTCTTTGTCTGTCAAATTCATTGCTTTGTATGTGGAAGCCTGGAACAGATAATTTGTACACAGTTTGGTGTCCTTTAAAATGCTACTTTCTATAAGGAAATCTGTGGATTTTTTAATATGTCTTTTCACAGAAGTTTAAATTTTCAGCTGCTGAAAGGAGGGGTGTCTCAGCTTTTGGTGTGAGTGAGTTGTAATAGCTATTGCCAAATTTTAGCGATGTGTTCATAAAACACAGCAAATGGTAACTGCTTAGAAGGATTAATCTGTCAGCCTTCTGTAATAGGCGCATGTCCTCAGTGTCAAGTACAGTGGTGGTAAACCAAAAGTGGGTAAATTTCTCAAACATCAAGGAAATAAATGCTCTTCAAGGTTCATCTGGGCAAACTGTTGTTTACTGTGTTATACCACTATATTTATAGCCAAGGATGTTATATGTACATTACTACAGTTCATCAGTATTGCACAGCTGATTATACAGGAGCTCAGATGTTTATCATGAAAACTATTTGGAATGCAAATACTCCTATCAGTCTGGCTTCAAAAAACTTCTATCATTTTGCTATGACAATAAAGAATATATTTATATTTTTCTTATTTCGATAAAGCTGTAATTTCTGAAGCTCCCTTACCAGTCTCAAAGGAGCATCTGTCCCATCACCTCTATTTCTGCAGTCCATGCATGGGTGAGGAGGACTTGGAATTAAAATGTTCTACACAACTCTAATTAGCAACAGAATTATGAGAATGGGAGGTGTCGTGTACATCTAAAGTCTTCCCATAAATAACATCCAGTTCTGTTTCAAAAAAATGCTGGAATATATCACAATACAGACTGCGTGGCTTGTCCTATGGAGGCTTCCAGGACTTGGAGAAAACTCCTGAAGAGATTGAAAAGGCCTTCTATTGATGTCAGCACACATCTTCAAGGCAGTCCTTAAGCTACACAGCATCTACTACGTCTGAACTAACCCCCTCCGCCCCACTCCCCCATTCTTTCAGAAGAGTAGAAGTTATCTCTGCCATAGAAATATCATAAGCACATCCCATGACTACACTTTTTTCCTCGAAAAAGCTGTCAGAAGTGACTCTAGGACAGCTTCATATCTAGGACAGCTGGCAGCACCATGTGTAGACCTCTCCCTCTTTCTGTCTCACACTGCTGTCCGTTCTAAACTTCCCAGACAGCTCAAAAGAGAAATCCAGTAAGAATAAGGTGTCTGGTCAGTAAGAATTGGATTTATCCCCCTAGTGCTGACGTGGCAGTGCACTCTGTTTTGAGAAAGCAGACTTTATGTCTAGGTGGCAGCAGATGCTAAAGGGAAAGATTTTCTTTTCACGGCTCCCAACAAAACCTACATGCTTTTAGTACAGTTTGATTGCCTTTAGCTAACCTTTGCATGCAGAGCATCTGAGCAGCACTGTACAGGACTTGCTCCTGGAAGCTTTCAAAGAGGGAAATGGCTGTTGGCGTCTTGTTTTCATACATCCAGGAGCAGAAAAGAACCTTGACAGGAAAGCTCGTAGGAGAGACTGAATGCTAAACTTAGAATTTCCTTGAACAAAGAAGTTAAGTTTGTGATGAGTATATAATACATTGGTATATGAGAGGAGCTTTGCAGAGAGGCTAGCTTGTTTCCATGGGTTTCCCCATCCTTGGATCTCACAGTGGTTTGAGCGATGAGTAGATGAGCGATGGAGCAGGGGAAGACTTCTTTTTTCCCCTCTGAGAAATTTAGCTTCTAGTTTTTTGTTTGTTCTGTGCTTCTTTGAAATGCTGAAGGGAGTCAGGGCAAAAACATGGGTAGAATGCAAAGGTATTTGAGGTAGTACTGCGGTCTGTCAGGTGGGGAGT